TATATAAAAAATTTTACATCTATATTATAGTATGTGGGAAAGAACCAATTGAATGATGATACTTTTATATAATCAATTTAAAGTTAGTCTAGAATTGCGTTAAATTTAGGATTTGGAATTATCTGTATTGTGTGGCTTTTTTTTTATTTACATTATATAAGCCACTACTAAATTATGGCATCGGATTACCTTGTAATTATGTTTGTTAGAATAGCAAATATGTTTGACAACGTAAATTAAATTTCTTTTTGGAGTTTAAATTTCCTAATCTAGTACTTTCTCCGTGAATTTATGTTAAGATTTACTCGAGACACAATGTACATACGTACGTACATACTTACCAATATAACTAACTGATCACCTTGTTGATTACGTTGATTATGTTAATTGTTTGCTTCGTTTTATTGGTATTTACAAAAGAATTAAACTAGATCAAATTTATAATAAATACTCAATGAACGACAAGAAAAATTTAACAGAAAGATTGCTCTTTCTTTGAATGGTATGCAAAATATTTATATACAAATAATATAATCTTTATATTTTTATAATTGTCAAACTTAAAGATTTAATGAAAAAAATGCCGACTGAAGAAAAACGCGAAAATGATTCATATGAATCAGTAAATAAAGATGATAAGACTTTGGAGAGAAGAATTATTAGAAAATGCGATCTTTATGTGCTACGTATGCTTCAAATATATTTAACCTTTATTTAATCTTTATATTATTATGCATCGATTTGTATTTCTTATAAAAAAAAATTAATTTCTTGATTAGCAATATTGGCTATGACATATTTGCTGGGTATCGTCGATCTTTCAAACATAGGAAACGCCATCGTAGCAGGATACGACTACAATTACCTTAAGACCACTCCTTTTTATTTTACTCTTGCCATATCTACACATTTCATCGGTTATATGATATTTGAAATCCCTTCAAACTTGGTGACAAGAATTTTAGGGTTCCATGTCTGGATGCCAATTATAATGGTGTGTTGGACAGCAATGTCTATGAGTCAAGCTGCATGTACAACCGTGGTTCAGTTAGGCATCGTTAGATTTTTATTAGGTTAATATCATATTAGCATATATCTTAAGATTAGGGTGCACCTGCATTACAGAAACGTAATTCGGATTTTCAAAAATATGTCGTGATTATTAGACTTCATGTTACTCTTTGCAATCTTATTGGTTGATCAGATAATATGCATACAACGTATACTATATATATAGTTATTGGATGCGAAGCAGCCAATAAAATAATTATTTGTAAATGATTCATTTTATCTGGCTGCGTACGTGACATCCATTAACGGTTTTATCCGGTGGCTTACGACGACCGAATCAACAGAATAATTCGAATTCTTTTGATGATAATGCAATCACCATCAAAATATTCTGGCGGTACGATCATAGTAAGCTGCCGGACAAAACTTGTTATTTCACGTCGATTTTTGCCAACCATTCGGTAGATAATGTGTTACGCGAAATAAAAAATCAATAAATATAATGCATTAATTTATTTAGAACCACAAAAGATTTGAATGATTTAAATGATTTGTTAAAAAGATCGTAATTGTTTCGATTTCAGTTAAAATTATTCCAAAATTCTAATTGATCAACCGATAATAGCAACAAATTATCATTACGATAAATTAAAATTTCATTTTCCTTTTGATTAATGCATTGATACAGGAGCATTTCAAGCAGCTTATCCTCCATCCATAGTGGGTTATGTCAGTTTATTTTATTCCCGAAGAGAAGTAACCTTGAGATATTCCATCTTTATGGCTTTAATCTCCATTGGTGGTGCTCTTAGTGGACTCGCCGTAAGTTTTAAACTTCAACACAATTAATCGCAATTGACTGCAATTGACCATAATTGACATTACATTAAGTAAATTCACTAATACATTATAATTATAATATTTATTAACTTATTAGTCATATTTCATAGTCCAAATATCAGGAACTCCATTATTTGGTTTTCAATGGTTATTCATCATTGAAAACATCCCAACTTTATTTATGGCCTTAATTATTGCCGTATTATTAACTCGTGGTCCCGGAAACGCCCGCTTCCTCACGCCTGAGGAACGTGAATTCGCTGTTGACCGGTTAAAATCAGAAGGAGGTCCAAATAAAGTTGATCGTAACATCGCCAAAGCTCAAATAAAACTTGTCTTCACTGATATCCTAACTTACATTTATATGATATTATTTATGCTTACTTCAATTCCATTCTATGCTCTTAATATCTACCTTCCAACTTTAGTTTATCAACTTGGTTTTAATGATGTACGAGCTCAAGTAATGGTCATACCACCACTACTTGTTGCAACCGTATTTATGACCATTAATTCTTGGTCATCTGATAAGTACGAGACAAAAACTTGGAATATATTGGCTTGTTATTTATTAGCCATCATTGGATTGATTGGAATGGTAGCAACGCAAGCTGATGTTCCTAGTTTATACAATTTGAGATATTTTTTTACAATCCTTCTGTCATGTGGCGCATACGGTGTTTTACCAGTAGCCTTCAGTTGGTGCATCTGTAATATTCGTTAGTATCTTTTTCAAAAACTGCGATATATATTAATATTTACTAAAATTTGATAATATCATCTAATGTTAATTAATTTAAATTTTTTAAAACAGTCGGTCAATACAAGCGCAGCACGATGGTCGCAGTAGTATTAACTTTTGATCAACTTGGAGGAATCATAGGAATTTTAATATTCCCAGCTGATGATGCTCCTTCATTCTTTATGGGAAATACCATATGCTTAATTTCAATAATCCTTGCATCTATTATTACTATCGGGTTGAAATTTTACTTGGAATCAATAAATAAGAAACGTGATTTGGCTATATTAGCTGATCATGATTATAAATTAGATGATAGTGATTTGAAGAATAATAAAAGGATTAGAGAGATTGCTATGAAATTAGTGGAAAATGAACCAAGGTTTGATGAAGTGTTGTGTGATAAGCATCCTAATTGGAGGTATATTATCTAAGGACA